GGGCGGGGTGGGGAGCAGGGGTTCGCTCTGTGCGAGGTCGGCGCATGTTGGGTGGGGGGCGCACGGCTAATGAAGTGCCCCTCCGCGGCCTGTGCTTGCGGAGCCTGCGCCTTGGGACGGACGTTTTTTGGTGCCGCGTGTGCCGTTCTTGGGAGCGGTGGGTACTGGTCCCTCCTGTTCCCGGACGTGTCGGGATCCTGTCGACGTGGGCAGAGTGCTCGGCACCCCCGTCCCGTGTCGCGATCCTGTCGATGCGGGCAGAGTGCTCGACACCCCCGTCCCGCGCTCCACGCCCAGCCCCCCCGCTGCTAGGGAGCGAGGCCACGTTTCCCTGCTGAGCCCGAGAGACCGCGAAGGTCAGCACGCGAGAGTGGGAGGCCCCCCTTAGCCCCAGGCCGGGAAACCCCCGGTCTGCAGGTGCTGAAAGCTGTTAATAAAGGCAGTCACGTTGATGGAGAGAGAAATAGGTGAATCTTTATTGCAAACTTAAAAACATTTTATTGCGAATACTTTCAAACATACATTAAGTAGAGAAAATTAAAAACGAATCCTCTTTTACCCATCACCCAGATTCAAAACTTCAATATTTTTTAAAATATATTTTTATTGATTTCAGAGAGGAAGGGAGAGAGAAACATCAATGATGAGAGAGAATAATTGATTGGCTGCCTCCTGCACGCTGGGGATTGAGGGTGGAACCCAGGCATGTGCCCTTACGGAAATCAAACCCTGGACCCTTCAATCCACAGGCAGACGCTCTATCCACTGAGCCAAACCAACCAGGGCAAAACAATATTTTTGCCATTCTTTTCTCAATTATTCCCTGCCCCACTTTTACCTCCTCACCCCTTCTCTTCCCCCATCCCCCTCCTCCTTTTTTGCTTAAGTATTTTAATGTGAATCCCAGGCATCCTATCATTTTGCCTAGAAATACATTATGTACCTCTACAGCAGTGATTCTCAACCTTCCCAATGCCGTGACCCTTTAATACAGTGCCTCATGTTGTGGTGACCCCCAACCATAAAATTATTTTTGTTGCTACTTCATAACTCTAATTTTGCTACTGTTATGAATTGTAATGTAAATATCTGATATGCAGGATGTATTTTCATTGTTACAAATTGAACATAATTAAAGCATAGTGATTAATCACAAAAACAATATGTAATTATGTGTTTTCCAATGGTCTTAGGTGACCCCTGTGAAAGGGTTGTTCAACCCCCAAAGGGGTCGCGACCCACAGGTTGAGAACCTCTGCTCTACAGGATATTGGCCTTGACATCTGTACCTAAACAGCCCCAATTGTCCTGCTCTGTCCTGTGCAGGAACTTGAAAGAGGGTGAGGCCTGTGCTGAAGAGGTTTAGACTGTTAGAAGAATGTAAATGTTTCTAGAACCAAATGCCTTAAATCTGTTCTCATCTTTCTTCTTAAAAAAAAAGAGTTTTAAAAACAGTGAATTTGAATGATTACTAAGTATTACAGACTGTTGTGTGGGGCTTTAAAAAAATAAATGACAATTTCTGCTTATCTTAGATTTAAAAAAACTGGTAAATACACAACAAAATTTATCATCTTAACCAGGGGTCCTCCAACTACGGTCCGCGGGCCACATGCGGCCCACTAAAAACATTTATCCGGCCCGCCCCGCCCAGGTGTTTTTGCCACCGCTGCCTGTTGCTTAGCAGCCGACTAGTTTTTTTTTTAATCCAACGGTCTGAGGGACAGTGAACTGGCCCCCTGTTTAAAAAGTTTGAGGACCCCTGATCTTAACCATTTAAGCATACAGTTGAATATTGTCTGGGCATGTTCACATTGTTGTGCAACTAGAAGGGGGGCATGGGAGGTGGTGCTTATGGAGGTCAGGGAGGGAGAGGGGTTGGGGTGGTGAGCGTGTAGACAGTAATTTCCATCTTGGTAATCTGAGGGTATCAGTGGGTTTCATTACAGCAGTGACTTATGCACACTCACAGAAAATGCAGCTAAAGAGTCAAAGTGTGGCACTTAGAATATCGGGGCCCATTTCATTTTGCAAGCAGGGGATCAAGGCCTGGGAAGGTGAGCTGATATGCTTGATGCCACACAGCAAGGTGGCAATAGGGCTAGGATTGGAAGCAGGTCCCCTGGATCGCTGGCATCCCTGCCACCCAACAGTGCTACCAGTGGAGAGCCCAGAGTAGAATAAGCTGACCGGGCCAGGGAGGGGTCAGGTAGGAGGAGGGTCCCAGGTGCAGGCCATGAGCTAGAAAGGGACAGAAAATGGGAGGGAAGGCAGAGCCTTGGGAAAACATTTTGGAAACTGTGGCAGGAGTGGGGATGTCCCCAAAAGAAGGTGTGCTGTGCCAGTTAACTGACTATGATGTTCCTGCAGGGAAGGACTTTAACTGGAGGCCTAGGGGCCTAGAGGGTAATCGTATATCCCTTCTAGTACATGGCGGGAGCAGGAGTCACTAAGGTGGCTGCAGGGGGAACCGGGCATGAAGGGGACAGGCATGAAGACATCACCCAAGAGGAGGGCAGGTGTGGCTACAAGTGGCCCTCTGGTGCCTCCAGGTGGAGCTGCTGTGAGTCTCCTCTATGGAGGGAGGGGTCAGTCTCTTCCTGTCCCTCTAGGCCATAGTTCTCAGCCAGAGGGTGGGCCCTGCTGCCCAGGGAGCCCATGTCACACAGGGTGCTGCCCGTGGTCACCCTGCTGAGACTGTGGGAGCTGTGACGTCGCCTGTGGCCACGGCACCGGGTTCCCAAGCACAGGGCTTCCCGGAAGGTGTCCTGGAAGCGGGTGGACATGAGGCTGTAGAGCACGGGATTTGCAGCAGAGCTGAGATAGAAGAAGACGCCAGAGATGATGTGTACGTACTGGTAGGCCTCGAGCAGGTACTCGGTCGAGGACATGAAGCTCCACATGAGACGTTCGATATGGAACGGGGCCCAGCAGATGCCAAACACCAGGACCAGCACAACTGTAGGAGCAGAGAAGAAGACTGGGTGCTGCTCCAGTTTGGTCTGTTCATTCTCACCTCCCCTCCTATTCCACAGGCTACCCATGCCCACTGTCCATCTGGAAGTTTCTGGAAGTTTGCCTGCCCTGGCCACACCCTTCCAGAGAGGCTGCTCTCACTTCTGTCACTGGGTGGGCAGTGGGTGTGTGCCCTGCCCCTGGCCACAGCCCACTGGGCCAGGCGTGGACACTTGAGCCAAGCTGGCCCAGCCCGACTATCTCACCATGGAGCATGGAACTAGGTGACTCTAAGCTCTGGACACTAAGCCCCAGCGTGATGCAGACTGTGCGGCTAAGGCCCACCCTGGGTGTCCACTTGGGGACAATGCTTACTGATGGGTAAGCAGAGAGAAGCAGAAGAATGGGGCCCATGCTCAGACAGCAGTAGATGGAGGTTCAGGGGCCAGAGAAAACACAAACACCTCCCCTTGTCTGCCTTGGCCCCAGAGCCTTCCCAGCCCCAGCCACCAGCTCTCCAAGGCCCAGCTGAATATCCTGCCCTGTACTAACTGCTGGCTTCTTGAGATCCCATCCCCTACCATCCAGCAAAAGACAGGATAGGTTGGCCAAGCCCTCACTCTTTCTCCCCAGCTTCCTTCCAGCCCTAGTCTTAACCAGCCATGACCTTCTTGGGTCTCTGTCACCCGATCTGCCTTGATTTTTTTAAAAAAAAATTTTTTTTAATTGATTTCAGAGAAGAAGGGAGAGAGAGAGAGAGAGATAAACATCAATGATGAGAGATAATCATTGATTGGCTGCCTCCTGCATGCCCCCTATTGGGGATCAAGCCCACAATCCAGGCATGTGCCCTTGACCAGAATCGAACCCGAGATCCTTCAGTCCACAGGCCTACACTGTCGATGCTCTATCCACTGAGCAAAGCCAGCTAGGGCTTCCTTGATTTTTTTTTTTTAATATATTTTATTGATTTTTCACAGAGAGGAAGGGAGAGGGATAGAGAGAAACATCGAAGAGAGAGAAACATCGACCAGCTGCCTCCTGCACGCCCCCCACTGGGGATGTGCCCGCAACCCAGGTACATGCCTTTGACTGGAATCGAACCCAGGACCCTTCAGTCCGCAGGCTGATGCTCTATCCACTGAGCCACACCGGTCAGGGCTGATTTTTGTTTCTTATTACTTGTATTTGTTTAGCTGACTATCCCCTGCAGTGTCAGCCTAGTGTGGTTTTGCTCGTAATCCCAGATTCCAATGTCCCCAACACACAGCCTGCTGCACAGTAGGCCTTCAGAAAGTGAGGGTGGGGGAAGGAGGAAGGGAGAGATGGAGAGAGAGAAGAAAGCCAGAGGCCCAGGCCAGCAACCAAGGTGGCTTTAAGGAAACATCTTCCCCGCCCTCCTGCCCAGGGTGAGAACCATGCCAGCTGAGCAGACTCAGACCTGGACCCTGTGATCTGGAGGAGACTGAGACAGGAGGGCGGGAGGGGCCGGGGTGGGGCA